CAGGCTTTACGGCAAACTGACTTTAGTTCTTTGAAAGAGTTTACGTCTGCCTTCTGGAGAACGCGGGAAAGCTACTTTTCAGAACCACTCTTTGTTTTATAGTTCCAAGACATATTGAAAAGTAGAATCCAGAATTTGTAGCAAATTTTGGTCTAGTGAGGTTGGTGTGTTCACTGCCTGAACAACTTCCTTTAGAAACACTATTCACAGCTCCTCTGTGCTGGTCATCAGTGGGCCCTTCCTTTAACGGGACTCCCCAAGGAGCCACTGAGCAGAGGGCTCCGCTGCTGCCCCCAGAGACTTGGAGGATGGGACCAGCCACCTGAAGGAGCCCACGGTGCTGCTGGCTGGAGGCACCAGACGGCACACGCAGAATCTGAGTCAGAGAATGGAAGGGAAGAGGCGAGGTGCAAAAACGAGGAGTTCTGGGTTTGATACAGGCTCCGAAGTTTCCAGCTTGTGACCTCATTCTTTCTCCACCCCCCTTCAAATCTATTTTTCTTTTTATTTCCCTGGCCCTCCCATCCAGATCCTTGGGACTCAGCCTGGCCTTTCTCTGATCATCACATGAAATCAGGCACCGCATCCTGTAGATTCTACCCTCTTAATCTGGCTCAGTCCAGGACCACTGCTAGCCTCTAAGGGGCCCGTGTTAGAAACTAGCTAAGGGGCCCCCTCTGGGCTAGTGAATTAGGAAAAGATGCCCCGACTGGGTGGAAGCAGCTTTCAGGTATGTGCTTGGCTAACACAGCTCGTTGGTGAGGTGTCCTTTGCTCCAGGCAGATGCCAGGGTGCAGGGCTCAGCTGGGGTCACAGGCGGCGTTTCACCCCCTCAGCCCCTCCAATGCCCCTTGAGTGCAATGAAGATTGCACCACGATGTGCTGTGGCCCTGCTCCAATCTTTGGCGTCCTCTCTGTCACCCCTGCTGCTGCTGCCACTGCCCGAAAGCCATTCTTGTTGCTGGTGGGGACTGCCCGAGCAGTGTCCACAGTCCTTCTCTCTCTTCTCTCCCCCACCCCCACCCCGTGTCTTCAAGGCCACCTCCTGCATGTCCAGGACCTTGGCTCCGGGCACTCCTCCTGCCTTCAGGACAAACAGACTCAGCATGGCACCCAGCGAGGTGCTTGCTCAGCTCATTTCCGTTTCCTCTTCTGCCTCTCCTGTCAGAAACCTTCACCCTGGCCTCGGCCCAGAAAGCCTTTGCTTCATTTCTCCTCCTGGCAACCCCTCCTGGTCTTTCAAGACTTGGCTCACCTAATACCTTCCCTAGGAGCCCCCTGTATTGCGATCAAGGCCGGCTAACCATTGGGCACTGGTGCCTAGTGCCCATGATACTTTTAGAGGCTCATGGAAATGTTTTAATTTATTTTAAAATCAGAAGAAAATAATGAGGTCTAAAGAAAAATGTGTTACTTTATCTCACATTAGAAAAAATAGAGAAATTTGTATGGCCCACAAAAATCTATTAAGTCATTTTTTTCTTTTTTTTATAGAGGAAGATGCTGGTGGAGGCAAAAGTCGCTATGGCCCATAGAAACTCACTATGTGACCCTGACTGCTGTTGTTTCCCCTTCCCACAGTAGGACTAGCAGAGGAGCACTCCCAGGAAGTGGGGGATGCCCCCCTCCAAGGGCCGTTAGGTAATTTCTGAACCTTTGTATCCCCAGCCCAGGCCAGTCCAGTGGTTAAGATTTGGTGCTCTCAGAGTCTGCCCGTGGCCTAGTGATTAAGTTTGTATGCTTTACTTTGGCAGCCTGCTTCTGTTCGCAGGTGCAGACCTACACCACTCATTGGTGGCCATGCTGTGGCAGTGACCCACATATAAAATAGAGAAACATTGGCCCAGATGTTAGCTCAGGGAAAATCTTCCTCAGCAAAAAAAAAAAAAAAGAAAGAAAGAAAAGATTTGGTGCTCTTAGAGCTGGCCCATGGCCTAGTGGTTAAGTTCTGTGCTCTGCTTCAGTGGCCTGGGTTCAGTTCTCAACATGGATCTACACCACTGGTTGGCAGCCATGCTGTGGTGGCAACCCACATACAAAATAGAAGAAGATTGGCACAGATTTTAGCTCAGGGCAAATCTTCCTCAGAAAAAAAAAAAAATTTAGGGGCCAGCTCTGTGGCCGAGTGGTTAAGTTCGCACGCTCTGCTTTGGTGGCCCAGGGTTTCGCCGGTTTGGATCCTGGGCGCGGACATGGCACTGCTCATTGGGCTATGCTGGGGCAGCGTCCCACATGCCACAACTAGAAGGACCCACAACTAAAAATATGCAACTATGTACCAGGGGGCTTTGGGGAGAAAAAAGAAAAATAAAATCTTAAAAAAAAAAAAAGATTTGGTGCTCTCACCGCTGCAGCCTGAGTTCTGTTTACTGGTCAGGGAGCCATACCACCTATCTGTCTAGAGTCATACAGTGGTGGCTGCTTGTTACTGTGACACTGAAAGCTATGCCACTGGGATTTCAAATACCAGCAGGGTCACCCATGGTGGACAGGTGTCAGTGAAGTTTCCAGACTAAGAAGCGGGGCCTGCCCACCCACTTCCGTTTTGGCCATGAAAACCCTGTGCACAGCAGCGGAGCACTGTCTGATATTGTGCTGGAAGGTGACAAGATGGCGCAGAAAGGCCGGGCAGGGTTTGCTCTGCTGTACACAGGGTTGCCAGGAGTCAGAATCCACTCGATGGCAATAACAAAAACAAACAAAAAATCCCAGCCCAGAGCTAGGCACTCAGGACTGGCTCTGTCAATGCTTTCCGGATAAATAGAAATGAATGAATGAATGGCCTTGGGGGAGATTTTCGACTCTCTGAGTCTCCATTTTTCCATCTGGAAAGCGAAGCTTCATCCTCACAGGGTGACCGTGAGGATCAAACGGAGAGTGGGAAAATGCTTTGGAACTGTGGAGCTTGGAGCCGTTCCTGATGCTATGCAGGATGTGGGCAAGGAGAGGAGCACTGGAGGTTGTTAAAAATGGCTCCAGGTGGCTTTGAAAACTTTCTTTTGGTAACAAATAAAATTACCCTATTTATACACATAGAAAGAGAACTGGAAGGACAGGTATTGAAGAATCTCACAGCCACCAGCCCTGAGCATGGGTTATCTTTGCAATTTTTTTTTAAAACATCCTTAGAAGCATGTGAAGGCCGGATCTGCGCCTTATTTTCCCTTTGTGTCCCTGGGCCTGGCACAGGTGAAGGACATTAGGAACGAAGGAATCCTCCATCTCAGGGTCCCATCTAGCACCCCATTCACCAGGGCCCTGCCCCCAAGTGGGTAAAAGGAGGACGGCTCCTCCCTGAGAGCGAGGCCAGCAATGGAGAGAGCAGAGCTGTAGGACGCAGACTCAGTTTACCCAAGGTGATGTCTCTCCCAAGTCATCATGGGGACTGAAGGAGATGGGTCCACATCGCCAATGGTGACAGACCCCTTCAGGCACTTAAGAAATTTTAGTTCCCATCCTTTCTTCACACTTAGGAGATAGGCTTCCTGTGTGGCAAGGAATTTAATATTTCCCATGGCTCCCGACGGGCTGGCATTGTTTCCTTTTTATAAGCCGTGGGTGCCTAAGTCATAACCAGCATCAGACCTGTCTGTCTTGTTCACGGCTCTACGCCCAGCGCCTAAAATCATGTTGGCACACAGTAGGTGCTGAGTAAGCAAATGACTCTGTCGAGGTTTACTTCTTTAACGGACTGCTGGGTGCCTCCCCAGTGAGAAGGAAACCCACCTCTAGATCGTAAGACCCTGGGCGGCCTCCCGCACCCTGTAATTTGGATCTCTAGGAATCGCCTTTGTTGTGGGCGACCAACCACAGGCAGAGCAAAGCAAGCACCTGCTCCTCCAGCCGGGCCTCGCGGAAGGACCCCAGGCTGCCGCGCCCCGTCTCTCCGCTTCCCGAGACCTGGGGGTCCCGAGGCATCCCGGGGCTCGCAGCCAGCGTCCGCCCCAGCGCTTCCCAGCCGGGGTGCCGCGCGTCCCCAGGTGCCCGACCCCGCGCCCGGGGTCTGCGTTCTTCGCCTCCTCGGGCCCGGCGGGGGCTCCGGGGCTGCGTCAAGCGCTTCGTCGGGCACCCCCGGGCCGGCGGAGGCAGGAGCCTGAGTCACGGCGGCGCACGCCCTCCTCTCAGCCTGCCATCCTGGGGCCACCTCCGCCCCGCAGCGTCGGGCCCCGGCACAGCCGGCTCTCCCCGAGTCTGCTGCGCGCCCCCTCTTCCCTGCCTGAGTCCCCGCGGCCGCGGCCCCCGCCCCCGGCCGGCTCCGGGGGAGCGTCGTCCGTCCGCCCCTCCAATGGAGAAGCCGGAGCTCCCAGCGCTCCCCGGCGGCTCCCGCGGGAGGGGGCGCGGCCGCCCCCGCGGCTCCACCCTCTCGGCGGGGCCGCAGCCATCTGGGGCCCCTGCCAGTCGCGTCCGCTCCGGGGCCCGCGCCGAGCTCGCGCGGGAGGAGGCAGCCCTGGCAGGGACCCGGGCCTCCTCCCCAGGCGATCGAGCCCCTGCCGGAGCCGGTGCCGGTGCGAGGAGCCGGGCGCTGAGATGCCCCGAGGGGCAGCGGCTGCGAGCCGAGCCTGGGTGAAAGCGCGTCGCAGCGGACGCGGGCGCCCCTCGCCACCTCGGTGACCCTTCAGGAGCGGGGACCGGAGCCCCAGAGGCGGCGGTGCGGGCCCGCGGAGGGCGGCGAGGTCCGCGATCCTAACGTCCGGGGCGGGCGCCGGCTGCGGAGCCTCGGCCCGGCTCTTCGCCTCCCGCCTCTCTCCCCCAGCCCCCCGCGAGCTGGCAGGAGGAAATAGCGCGCGGCCCCTTTAAATTTACCCAGGAGCCCTTAAAGGAGCCCCAGGGGCCCCAGACAGGAATCCCCACCCCGGTCCAGCCCGCGCCGCCGAGCGAGCAGCCAGCCGTCCGTGCGGCCGGCCGCCCCGTGCATGCGCCCCGCGCCCAGGGGCCCCGCGCACCGAGCGCCCCGCGCGGGCCGCCGCCGGCCCCGCGGCCCCGCGCCCCGCCGCCCCGGGGCCCCGCTCCGCAGCGCAGCGCATGGAGCCCGGCGGGGACCACCGGAGCCGGAGCGGCGGCGGCAGGGGCGGCCCCGGGCCAGCAGCGGCCTCGGCACGGGGCCGACCGCTGCCGCCCGCCGGATCGAGCGGCGGCGCGGAGCCCGAGGAGGACGACGGCGGTAAGAACTGGGGCCGGCGGCCCGGGCGGGGGCCCCGGCATGGGGGAGGGGAGGGCTGCGGCTCCGGGCTCCGGGCCCCTCTCCGCCGCCGAACAAAGGGGGGGACGCGGGCAGGGCGGCCGGGGGCGCCACCTGGCGGGCGCGGATCGCGGCTGCAGGGCCAGCGGGGGAGCCCCCAGCCCGGCTCGCGGGGTCGGCCTGCGGGGCTCGGGCGGATCCCCTCCCCCGCAAGGGGCCCCGCGGCCCCCGCCTTGGAGGCCAGGCCGGAGGGGCCCCAAAGGGCCTGGCCGGGCGCCACGGGGCGCGCGCTCTAGGCTGTGGGACTTGCCGCCCCCGCCCCGTTCTCTTTCAGACTCCCAGGTGGTCTCCCTTATCCGGTTGTCTCTTAAAAGTCGGCCCAGACCGAGGGTCCCTCTCGGGGGCTTCCCCCCAGAGGAGCTGAGCTGGGCACTCCGCTGCTTTCGGTCGGGCTGCGCCTCTTCTCTTGTGGCCTTGCTCAGAGAGAGGCAGGCTTTTCTCTCCCCCATATTCTCCCAGGAGACGGCATAGCTGGTGCCTGGGGGCCCCCGCCACTGCCTTCCCCACGGCGGGCAGTTTTTAAAGGGCTGGGCTCGCCCACAAAGGCAGACACCCCCTCCTGTCCGCGCCTTGTCTCCTCCCTTCTTTTCAGAAATTTTTGGCCACAATTTGGCAGCTCTAGCGGGACCAGCCGGTCCTCCCCGTTCGCTCTCAGAGGAGACTGTTTCTTCATTTCCCTGCCGCGGGGTCACCGCCTTAAGACCCGTGAAGGTTCTGTCCAGGCTGGGGAGCCTCTGCCCTCATCTCCAGCTCCCCTCCCAGAAACTCCCCATCCCCTTTTGTTTTTAAAGAATCTCAGCTCCTCCCCTTTTTTCGGCTCTTAAAGCGCCAGTCCACGCTAGACTAGCAGAGCTCCAGCGCTGAAAGGATGCGCAGAGACCAGCTAGCTCTCCAGTGCCTTTGCAGACAAAGGCGCTTAGGCCCAGAGAGCGACATGACCTATCAGAGGGCACAGAGCAAGTTACCAGTGACGCTAAGATTCGAACCCAGGTCTCTGACTCTGAAGCCAGCGCTTTTTCTTTGGCTCTGCTTAAACCAAAAACAAACGAAAACCACAATCGTGACAGGAGCCCTCTCTGATCCTATCTTTTGTTTCCCCGACCCTGAGATAGTCCACTGGGAGAATGACCACACCTGTCCATTCAGCTTATGTGGCCAGGAGACCCTTTTCTAAATAACATGGGGTCCCAACTATAGGGAGGGTGGGGGACAGCCTAGGGTCTCTCTTTGGCAAAAGAGAAGACCACTGGGTTAGTGGGCTCTGCTCGGGCCTCCCCGGTGCCCGCCCGGTCATTGCTGGGCAGTGGCCTGCTCCCTGCCAGAGCGAAAAATCAATCCCCAGAAAGACTTCGTGGGCTCCAGTAGCTGGTGGCCACTCCCTGCCTGAGTCTTCAGTAGCCACTCTGGTGGCCCCCCTGCTCTCCCCTTCCAGAGTCGTGGGCTCTCCCAGGCTCTGGAGAAGTCAGGGTCATAAAAACTCCTTCCCCTGAAGGTGTTGACAGCTTTGTCATGGGGATCCCTCCCGTGGGGAACCGACAATGCTTAGGGCCCCCTATAATGGGACTCTCAGGACGACGTATTTGGGGCATTATTGGAAAAAGGGAGAAGATCTTTGGGTGGGGCCCCCCTAGCTGGGGCCTCAGGAGGGTGGGTCCTGTGTGCAGCCCTGGATGCAGACAGATGCCCCCTTTGTTCTTCTCGCCCCGCTGCCCGCTCTGCTCCGCTCCGCTCCACTCCGGCTATAACCGCCCTGGCAGGCTGCTCCCCTGGCCTTACCCCCACAGCTCTTGTCCAGTCAGGGTGCCTAGCAGAGTCGCTGCCTTCTCGGCCGTCACTGTATTTTTTAAAAAGTCAAAGCTGGTCCCTGACAGTGCCCTGCGTCCTTTTGTTCTTGATCCTCTCTTAAAGGGTCCTCGCTGTTTATGAAGGGCTAACGTTTTGACTCCCTGCTCTCCCATACATCCCCTTTACTGCTGCTGTCATCCCTTTCCTGCCCCGGACCAACCCCTCCCCCACCTCCTTTTCTCAGGCTGCAAAATCAAAACTCTGGGTCCTTTCCCTGGAAATCGGAGATTGAAAAACTGTCTCCCTTTCCCCCTCTTCAGGGCCAGATCTTCAGCTGGAAGGGGGTGCCTTGGGGTCCTGGGGGAGTGCCCCCCTGCCCTCCTCCAGGGCCAGGGGACCAGCATCTTCAGGCAGGAAATACTCAGACCACTGTGAGGCCCGGGCCTCGAGGCCTGGAAAGAGCCGCATCCCCGGCCGTGACCACCGGCGCTACTACCACGAACACTGGCGGCTGGAGTACCTGATGGACTTCAACCCTGCCCGGCACGGCATGGTGTGCATGGTGTGCGGCAGCTCCCTGGCCACTCTCAAGCTCAGCACCATCAAGCGGCACATCCGTCAAAAGCACCCCTATTCCCTGCACTGGAGTCCCCGGGAGAAGGAAGTCATCAGCAACAGCTGGGACGCCCACTTGGGGCTGGGGGCCTGTGGAGAGGCCGAGGGCCTGGGGGCCCAGGGGGCTGAGGAGGAGGAGGAGGAGGAAGAGGAAGAGGAGGAGGAGGGGGCTGGCCTCCAAGCTTGCCCACCCAAGGGCCCAGGTAATGGAGGACATGGAGAGGCAGGGGCCTGGGTGGCAGGAGGGGCCAGGTGAGGACAGCCCTGGCTTAGCCGGCCAGCTGCTTTTCTTCAACAAGTCCCTGCTCCTTTTCGGGGCGGGGTTTGCTTATTGCCCTTATTGTATCATAGTAGGGAGGGACAGTGGGAAGAGCGGGTCTCCAAGGTCCCAGACAGCGTTGACCTGTGGTTTTAGGAGGATCAAGGAGAGTAGAAGCTGGAGGGGTAGACAGGGGAAGGGCTGGGAGCAGAGGGTGCTGCGAAGGTATGGCTGACAGTGAAGTCCAGAGAAGGAGCTAGAATCTGGGTCTGGGGCAGAGTGGGTGGGCTTAGGGTTTGTGTGTAGGAGGATTAGGGGATGGAGGAGTTAAGGTTTGAGGGGAGAGGAAGAGAAGGGCAAAGGTTAGGCCTGAGGCTCTGAGTCAGAGTGAGGGAGAGGCCTCTGGAGGACCTGGCTGTGGTGGGGGGGGGCTCCCCCAGAGGGCCAGCATCTCAGTTCCTTCCTCCCTCCAACCCTTTCAGGCAAAGCCCCAGCTGGTGGGGGCAGCCGGCGCCAGCTGCGAGGGGGCCCAGTGGCACCCCGGGCTCGGCGTCGGCGCCTCTCGGCCTCCCGGAGGGCCGGGGGCAGCAGGGGGCTGGGTGCCCGGCGCCTGGAGCGGAGGCTGAAGGAGTCCCTGCAGAACTGGTTCCGGGCAGAGTGTCTCATGGACTATGACCCTCGGGGGAATCGGCTGGTGTGCATGGCCTGTGGCCGGGCACTGCCCAGCCTGCACCTGGACGACATCCGCGCCCACGTGCTGGAGGTGCACCCCAGCTCCCTGGGGCTCAGCGGCCCCCAGCGCAGCGCCCTGCTGCAGGCCTGGGGCGGCCAGCCCGAGGCACAGTCCCAGCCCCCACCAGGTGCGAGGCCCATCCCAGGGCCGAGGCCCCCTCACGTAAGGGCTGCGAAGTGGGATCTGTGGCCAAAACCGGGAGGGACTCCCTCCCCCCACCCATCCCCCATCTCGCACTGGCTGGGGCCTCTAGCTTGGGGCTGGGGTGAGGAGCAGGGGCCCCCCTCTGCCTGGGTAGGAGCGACCCAGCCAGCAGGCTGAGCCCCTCTCCCTCACCCCTTCCCCAACAGACGATGACCTCGTCCCCCAGGACCTGACCAGAAAGAGCCGGGACTCCGCCCTCGCTGCTGGAGCCCCCTCCTCTCAGGATCTCAGCCCCCCAGACGTAAAGGAAGAGGCTGGCTGGGTCCCTGAGAGGCCCGGGCCCGCAGAGGAGGAGGAGCTGGAGGAGGGCGAGAGGGTGGGGGTCCCGGGCCGGTCGCCGCGGGGCCGCCCCCGCCGCCGCCACTACCAGGAGCGCTGGCGGCTGGAGTACCTCATGGAGTTGGACGGCGGCCGGCGCGGGCTGGTGTGCATGGTGTGCGGGGGCGCGCTGGCCTCGCTCAAGATGAGCACCATCAAGCGGCACATCCGCCAGCGCCACCCGGGCTCCACGCGCCTCAGCGGGCCCGTCAAGGCCCTCATCGCCCAGGAGTGGAGCGAGAAGGCCGCCCACCTGCTGGCCCTGGGGCTGCCCTGCCCGGAGTCCCCCAGGGACCCCGCCGCCCCCGGCACCGCCCCCAGCACAGCCGCAGCCTCCGAGGAGGGGGGAGGGGCAGAGGAGGAGGAGCCAGAGGAGGAGGAGTGGTGGGGTGAGCCGGTGGAGGGCCAGAGCAAGTGGAGAGGGAGAGCGGGGCAGGGACCCGGGCCAGGCAGGGAGCGAGGGCTGGGGACGCTGGGGGAGAAGGTGGAGAGCGGAAGGCTGAATGGAGACTGGGGAGGAGGCGACAGGAAGGCAAAAGGGGGCGTTATGAAGCTGAGCCCCAGACCCGAGCTGCTGTCGTCCCCCCGCCTCCAATGCAGCCCTTTGTCCCTTCCCAGGCGATGTCCCGCTTTCTCCTGGGGAACCGTCGGAGCGGCCTGCCGAGGAAGAGGACGACGACGAGGACGGCCAGGAGCCCGGGGGACTCGCCTTCCCGCCGCTGCCCCCACCGCCGCCGCCGCCTCCCCCGCCGCCGCCGCCCCGCAGCCGGGAGCAGCGGCGGAACTACCAGCCGCGCTGGCGGGGCGAGTACCTGATGGACTACGACGGCAGCCGGCGCGGCCTGGTGTGCATGGTGTGCGGGGGCGCGCTGGCCACGCTCAAGGTCAGCACCATCAAGCGGCACATCCTGCAGGTGCACCCCTTCTCCATGGACTTCACGCCCGAGGAGCGCCAGACCATCCTGGAGGCCTACGAGGAGGCGGCGCTGCGCTGCTATGGCCACGAGGGCTTCGGGCCGCCCGCCCCGGCGCCGCGCGACGGCGGCGCGGACCTCAAGGCGGGCGCCGTGTGTCGGGCGTAACGGACTCGCGGGCCGGGCGGGGCCGGCGCTCCGGCCGGGAGACCCTGCTTCCCGCCGCCCCGCCGCCGCCGCTGCCGCCGCCCCCCGCTGGCCGGGCCGGGCGGAGACTGGGCTTGGGTGGGGTCGCCAGCGTCCGCTCGGTGCCAGGAGCCCCCCTGAGCTGGCCCGGGCGCCGCAGGAAGCGCGCTCCCCTCGGACCCGCGCAGGGCCCACGGGTCCCGAGAAGCCACAGCGGCCTCCGAGCATTTGCACGGAGAGCTTCCAGCCCAGCCCGTGGGGTGTGCGGCCGCACCCCACGAGGCGATCGTGTGCCTGGCGGGGATCGGCGACGCCGACAGTCAGTATTAGGGCTCCAAGGTGGGAGCGGGGAGAGGACGAAGAGGAGGGCGGCAGCCCCTTCTCCTGCCCGGGGTCCCAGCTCTCGGCAGCGTGGCGCGCCGCAGGCACGGCTCCCGGGTCGGGGGCGGCCGCTCCCCTGGCCTTATTGATATTCTCTGCCGCCGAGGCCTGGACTGCGCCCCGGCGCCCCCGCAGGAGGCGGGGCGATGGGGCCCGGGAGCCCGCGGGGAGGGCGCGTGGCCCGCGGGCGGGGCGGGGGCGGAGCTGGGCCGGGCCCCGCCAGCCCTTCCCGGGCGGGCTCTGCGCTCCGCCGCCCCGCCCACCGCCGCGGCCCCTGCCACGCCCGCCCGGACGCGGTCTTGTATGGGATCAGCACTTTTTCCCTTTGCTCCCCGCCTGCTCCGAAGGCCTCCGTTCACCCCGCGGCTCAGTCAGGCGCTCCTGCTTCAGCGCCCCGCTCGGTCGGAGCCCGGGGCACTGGAGGTCCCGGCAGGTGGCGTTGTATCCCCGTCCCCTCCCCGTCCCCCTTTGTACGCGGTGGACGCGCCACCCGTTCTCAGCCCCCAGGGCCTGGGGCCGGGCCTCGGCCTTCCTTTCTCTTCCCCGCAGCAGCGCCAGGCCCTGTGGGGCCGGGAAGGGGCCCCGCGATCTCCCAGGCAGGTCCGAGAGGGATGTGTAGATTCATTCTCCCGTGGAGAACACGTGGCCCCGAGATCAGGCCCTTTTTGCTCTTTGTATTTTATTTTGAAACTGTATTTAATGCTTTTATATGAAAGGGGGAGGGGCGGAGAGAGCTGTCCCGGTCACCCTTATGTGCAAATGTCTTATTTATTATGCGTGTATCAGAGATAAGCTGTGAGGTGGTGGAGGAAAGACCTAAAGGAAGGAGCAAAGACAGAGGCTGGGATGGGAGGACCCCAAACACCCCAGACTGTGTGACTCTCCAGGCCTCTCCTCCAGGCTCTGGGCCCCACTGTCTTGCTCTTCGCATAACCTGGCCAGTTCCTTTGGTCGTAAAGCCTGAGAGCACGGAGTTCAGAGGGAGGGGCTTAAGGCCTGGGTCGGGAGGAGGGGACCCGGCCCGGGGGGCTGCCTCTATGGGTAGGAAAGCAGAGAGCGAAGAGGAAGCCCTTCCTCTCGTCCCAGCCCCCAGGCCAGAGCTCAAGGTTCAAGTGCCTCGGGCCCAGTCCCTTTGACTTCTAGATTGGGAACTGGATTTTATACCACGGATTTTATAGCATTTTTATATAATTCAAGACGATCAGAGTTGGAAAGACCTTGGAGACCAATTAGTACTCATCCCCACCCCTCTTGCAGATAGGTGAAATGAAGCCCAGGAACGGAAATGATCACACAGCCAGGTAGGAACAGCACGAGAACTAGAATAAAAATCTCAACTCCCAATTCAGTGTTCTTTGCCACTACGCCACACTGCCTTCCCATCTCTGCTAAGTGGCTAGAATTTCTTTCCCCATAAGGCCTGCCAAGGGCTGGCACGTGCTGGGCGCTGCAGGCCATCACAGTGCGGTCGTGACCTCCTGGGGATGGCAAAGAGCTGCCCTCGGCCTTGGAAGGAGCATCACAGGGGAGCTCTTGCCACCACAATTTCGGCTGGAGGGTGCGGGCAGCAGCCTTCTCCATCAGAACTCCAGAAGTGGGGCTGGCCGCCATCTGGCCCAAGGCCTCCCCAGTAGGGCCAGGGCCCTGGCATTGTATTCTTTGTTCTTCATGCCACCAGGAATTCAGGAAAGACTGCATGGTCTGTCAGTTGAGAATTCCCAGTGAGTTGGGACCTCCCGGGTTTTGAAGCAGCATTAAAAGCTTGAGAACAGGCATTATGGATGGCACCAGGCTGGGCACTGCCATTCTTTTATTTTCTTTCATGCATGTTGTTTTCAGCTTGACATTCTACCACTTTTGCCACTCTGCCTGCTCAAAAACAGCAGGCGAGTTGGGGCAACCCATTAGAGTCAGCCAAGTCCACCGCCCAAGTTTAGGGGAGCCGGGCTGAAGGCGGCTAGGGAGTGGTTGCTCCCCTCCATCGGTGGGCAGCCAGCCTTAGGAGCACAGGAGCGGGTGTCTTCATGGAGAGGCAACCCGAGCCCTCCAGCGGTTCTAAGTGTGGCCGCCCAACCAGCAGCCTCACCTTAGGAACTTAGTAGAAATGCAGTCTTGGGCCCCGCCTCACAGAATCAGAAGCTGGCGTGGGGCCCAGTGACCCACTCTGATCAGCCCCCCAGGGAGCCTGAGGCACAGGGACGTTCTGAGCGCCCATGGTCTAGGACGTGCCACTGTACTGACTCCTACTTTTGATGGCAGCTGTGGCCTTGTGGGTTGGGGTCAGGGGTCAGGAGGTCATCTCTAGCTGGGCCTCCTTGCCTCGGGAGTCTGACAGGAACAGGTGAAGCTTCATGAATTTTTTGTTAATGGTATGCTTGCTATTAGGGCCAATATGTAAATGTTACTCTGAATACATATTTATATACCATGTTAGTGACATTATTCAAACATTTGTATGCCTATTTGTGAAGTTGTTTGCATCAGTTATTTTTTAAATTTCAGCCTAAGTTTTCTAAGAGGTATGTTGAATAAATTTAAAAAATCCAGCTGAAGGGTCACGGCAGCCTTAGTTTTGGAGAAGAGCAAATCCGAGGTGAGTTCTGTCAGCAGAGACCTGATGTGTGGAGGTCTGATGTGTTTGCTGTCCTTGGGGGCTGACAACTGAATCGCAGGGACTGGGGGGTTTGCAGGCCGCCTCTTGTCGCGGGCGGGGAACCCTCCTAGGTTGGCGTGAGGCTGAACTGGGATAACAGACCTGTCTGGCCACTTCCACTCCTCATCTTCCTCCTAAGGCCACCTCTTAGAGGGTCTCATTTCCATTCAGAAACCAAATGCACACTTTTGCTCCACTATGGAAATTCCACAATCTGGGGAATCATTCCCAGTATTGACTACGAGTCACTTTTTAAAGCCTCAAAAGTGGAGTAGGGGTGGGGCCGGTGGCAGCCTTGTCTGGTTCTTACTTTACCCAAACTGTGTATAAAGAATAAAGTTAGCAGAATGACACCACGGTCACTGTGTTGTTGCTTTTTTTATTAATAACACATCAATTTGCAGTTTTACAGGAACCAACATTCAAGCTCCTTAGGTGCTACTGTATTTTTATGTTGCACGCACATATACGCACACAGTTTCATTAGTAATTTTTCATCTATAGGTTTTTCTTAAAAAAAAAAATTCCCGTGTGGCACAAAGATCTGTCCAATTATCTAAACACAGCAGTAACAAAACGAGAGCTGGGTGTGGAGGCTTCCAGTGCAGAATAAGGTCCTTTGGAGGGGAAGCCCAAAGTGATGAGCAGTGCTCTGACTTCCTGGGAGGGCAAAGGACGGGGATGGAGAATGCATTTCCTACTAGGACATGAAATCAGGTTAAAAATCGAGAAGGATGTGGAAAGGGGGCTAAGGAAATAAGAGAAGTAAGGCAAAGGTACCTTTTACTCATCTAAAGTCCTAAGTAATTTTCCCAAAAAAGTGGAAAACTTCCTTCCGCTCCTTCTACAGAGTTGCGGTCCATCGGAGATTGTAGCCCTTACTTTAAAGTCACCAGCGCATATTCCCTCTGGATTATCATGACTACGAGTTAGAATCTGAAGGAACTCACAGACGACTTTTTTTCCAAGTTTACCGAATGTTCATGTTGGAAGGGGAGGGAGATGCTTATCAGCCTCAAAGGGAATCAAAGATGCCCAACCGCGCTCCATCCATGCCAGCCCGAGCTGCTCCTGTGCACGGAGCCCATCAGCACAGGCTCACCCGGCCTGGCTGCCCTCACTTAAAGCTTAGGTTTTGGAAAACACTCTCAAAAGGAGCACCCCGGGCCAGGGCAGAGGGGCTAGCACATTTTATGTGCCTGAAAACGAAAGGAGCCCTCAAAACATAACACACACCCAGTAAGCTAGCCTCAAAGTCAAAACTCCATGTGAACCACAAAATGCACTTCCTACGCTAATGTGTGGTCTCTCGACCACAGACACACACGGTCTCCTCTCAAGCCAGCTCGGCTGTGGTCCTTCGGGCAACGTGATGAGCAAAGGTTAAAGATGTAGCTGCGAAGGAGGGAGCCGTAGGGAAAAGATCAAGAAAAAAGGCCTTTAGTACAGTTTCTGTAATTCACCTCTTGAGAACGTTTCCCCCCCACGGACTGAGGATTACAATAACTCAACAACTGAGGAGCCCGCATGCAGAGTAGTTTTTTCTCTAACAAGTTTACAGCAGTGTACAGCAGTTACAGACATTTATTTCATAATAAGAAAAGTACAACCATATTTATTAAACTTGAGGTGAGGTGGGTAGGAAAGAGGGAGGAAAGCACATTCAGGGAAGAGTTCTCAAACTCAAGCTCAGAACTGCTGCCCAACAGAAATGACAGAGACAGCACCTTCCCAAACGGTGGAGCCCGCCTTCCCTGGGCTGAGGGGGCGGGAGCAGTCTCAGCAGGGCTCCGGGGACTCCCTCTCCAGCCCCCCTTTCTGTTTCCATTCTTGGTCATCGATGGCATTCTGGGAATCAGGAGTCACTGTTACCACCCAGAAGTCCCTGGGAGTTGGAGGTTCCAGCATTCAGTGAAGAAGAGGACTATACAGGAGGAGTTGCTCACACTGGGGGGCAGGAAGATGGGAGCGAGGGCACCCCACTCTTGTCCCAGATAATTTCTTCAGAAGTTAATCATTATTTCTTAACTTAAATATAACGGCAAAACTATGATGGGAAGCTGACTGGTCCTTGAAAACGGAACAGGAGGACCCAAGAGATGTGTTTCAGCTTTCGTTTTCTCCTTTCCCTCCCACCTTTCCCCTCTCAAGCTACAGGCAAAAGCTCCACCACTGACGTACTGATTTATCCTATTCAATTGATTCTTTCGGGTTCTAAGATATCAGTTCTTTTTTTAATCCAACAATTCTTGTGCTTGATACTGCGGGTAAAGGGAAAGGAGGGGAGAAACACCAAATTAAAAAAAAAAAAAGCTTGGAATGCAGGCTCAAGCTGACACTGAGCACGTTCCTTCATAGTACAAGTAACAACGTTATAACTATTAAATGGTGTTTTAGTAATGGTTGCATTTCTGGTTTCCATGTACTTAGTCTGCCTTTTTTTTTGCGATTCCAGGTAGTTTTGCTTGGATCCTATTGAGGAAAAGTAAAAAAAGGTGAAAACACAGCTATTACATTAGTTCTAGGTTTTTCCTCTAACAGTGATGCTAGAAGATAGTCCAGGACTTGCTGGAGCAGCGTGAGAAACATTCCCTCACTTCCGCAGGGCGGCTGGATGAGGGAGCAGGGGCCGAGACTGGTCTGGGAGGAGCTCAGGGGTCCACCCAGATCCACTCCAGCTCCTGCCGCCGCTGCCTGCTGCTGGCCTTTCACTGCCAGAACCTCGGGTCCTTCACTGGGGTTCCAGAGAAGAGTAAGGGGTGTCTGGGCATAATGCCTGCTGCCTGTGCTCTACACACTGGCAGTGCAAGAGCCACTTCTCTGGGAAGGCCAGGTCACCCACGAGTGCCACAAAAGGAACCAGGAGTCAAGGGTCAAGGAGATACATAAAAAAACTAACCAGAGGAGCTGGCAGTAGTCCCCAGCCCCTCACAGGACACCACAGCTGCCCTTCACCGTGTTCATTAAGGTCATTCACATCCCTCAGCTAATGGGAAAGCTCCTTCCCACAGCAGGGGCCCCGTCAGCTGACACCCCTCATCAAGACACCAGGTTTAGGGCTAAGCTGTGACCATCTTTCACGATCAGGAGCAACCAGCAACCAGATACGTACTTGTGCTAACTGTCCTTGCCTGGTTTTAGCTCCAATGCGTATCTAAAATAGCAAAAGAGCAAGTACAGACCCTGACATCCAGCCAGAGCTGTCTGGATGTGGTCACAATTTCCTCTTATCAAAGCTGGAAAAAGCACTAAAATCTGGGGTGTGAAAGGGATGCAGGGGGGCCCACAAAGGGGATGTGATTGTTTGCCATGTTTTGTTTCTTAAAGAATATCTGAATACGAAAAAATGTTGACATTTTAATCTGAAGCATTGGGTTCATAGTGTCTGCTATAAATTCAGAATTAAAAAAAAGAAAACAGTTCCTTGATACAGGGAGTCATAAAAATGTCTATCAATATTTTATTACTTGATTTAAATACTAAATTAGTTTAAAAAAAGAGGAAAACAGAGGGATCTGGTAGTCTTAAAAAGAGGTAGTGTAAACCCTTAACTCATGTATTTTACTAAAACTTTTGTTTCTGGAAAAAGAAGGAAGAGTTTGGCTTAAAACTGACAAACTATGTGAAAATAAATGAAGGTGGAGACAACCATGAACATTTAAAAGCCAGTCCAAAAGGCACACTGGTTCTGATTCCATTCACCCTTATTAATCTAAGATACGAAGGACGGTTTTTTAAAGAAGTGGATGAAGTACTTTCTAGTCAAATCAAACTATTAACCGAGGTTTTTTTTCAGCGTGAAAATTACTTTCTTTAGCATCAGCATTTTACACAGGGGACTAAAAATAATCGGGGGGAAAAGCACACGTCTCGATGAAATTTGGAACCTATGCGTACTCACTTTTCAACGATCGACTTGGTCTGATCGCGGGCGATGCCAACATAGTGATCAATCTGGGTCTTTAAAGGAAGGAAAAGCGACTCAGTTGTGGCGACACAGAGATTAACAATCTTCCTGAAGGTAACGTTCTTTTGTCTAGTTTAACCACTTTTTAAAAACACTATTGAATATTCTCGAGAATAAAAATAACGCCCAATTTTAAAAAGCATTTTAAAATTATGCCAGAAACACCGCATGCTCTGTTGAAGTCAGACTACTCCTTTCTCTCGCAGGGGTAAGTCTCACTTGCTAGGTCTTCTTTAGGGACACCAGAGTATGGCATTTTCTGAATACCAGAAACTGTGTCTAACCTATATTCTGTCATCACAAATGTGTTTTGGCTCTTAAGTAAGACTAATTCATTTAACATCAAAAAGCCATAAATAAAGTCAGCTGACGGATGACTTACTCCATGAGAACAGCGTCACAGCACGCAGTATACTCTACACCCCACCCACAACGCAAGCATCTGTTCACACCGATGGAGTCCCATAATAGTCTTAATAGTTTACATTTCTTTTTAAAAGACACCAGCTTTTATTTATTTAAGCATTTTTCAACTTTTTTTTTTAAACAGATAAGCACCCATGTGATAAAACCTCAAAAGGCACAACGAGGCATAAAAGCAAGTCTCCTCTCATCCTTCTCCCTCCTAGACATTCAGTTTCTCTCCTTGGAGAAAACCACTGACAGCGGTTTCTTATAGGCAGCTGACTTACAAAATGAGACACTAGAAATGGTTAGAAAAAGACTGCTCCAAACTTTCAATGCCTAAAACATGAACTAACAACTAGTCATACAACAACTGGTATATCCTATTTGAAACAGACAAACGCTTACCTTGTACTTCTCATAGACAATTGGAACGCTGAAAACGAGCAGTTCGGCTGTAGGACAGAATCACAGGACACGGCATGTATAAATGTCAGACAGTCATAAAGTCTCAAGATTCAAGTAACACAGACACTTCTCCTCTTGCAACAGAAACAGCTCTTCAATATGAGAAACCCTGGCGACAGCTCTCAATTAAGGACAGTCAGATGTAGGTACACAGATGCTTTCTTTGTACCACAAATAATTTCCGAATTATGAAAATGGTTTCTAGAAGTAAAATCCCCAAATTTAAGCCGAATCCAGACAAGTTCCCTTTCTTCTGGCTGTTTTGCTATTTCTTTATAGTTAGGACCATTTAATACACAGACGGCCATAAACACAGGTTCCTCCACTCAGGTCTGTGCGGAAGCTGAAGGCTGGGCCACACGGGGGAGGGACGCCCTGGGGAGCAGTCCCTTCGCTCTCACTCTTACCAATCACTTCAAAGAGCGCAGAGCCACACTCCTTGCTCCCTTACCAAGAATCAGGAGGGTGATTCCATTGAAGACAGCGCCAACATAGGTCATCAGCCACATGAAGACAGCCAGCTGTGAAGGCCAACGTCAGAGGGTTAGCAGGAATAACCACAAGGCGAAACTCAGGGGAGCCGATGCCATTCTCCTCTAGCTAAGTCTGCGTAAGGTAATAATCTCAGAATGAAGGCCACCCCATTTGCACTATACAGTTGAGGGTGCATGAGAGAAGTCTGTAGTTCGTTTCGGCCTGAAGGACAGACCGCCCTTGCGTTTCTGTCAATTACATCAGTGCTGTTCTGATGTTAGTTCTCAGGGTGCAGGGGACGCCTTCTCTAGTCACTCCCATGCCCACTTCTACAGGCCGATGGAGATAAGCATACATTCTTCTGTCTGATAAAACCCTATGTACTGCTTTTCCTTTGAATCACAACCTCACCCCTGGTTTTCCTCAGCCTCATCACCAAAAGCTGTAGAAACAACTAACCTTCAAGGAGTCGACCAGATCTTCCACCAGAAAGAGACGGATGATGAGCTTCAGGGCCCGGTTGACGTGCACCAGGGCGGCATTGACGTAATTATGGAAAGCTTCCGAGGACAGAGTGATGTCCACATCCAGGTAGGCTCTTCCGGGAGAAGAAACAACAGTCACACATTGGACCAGGAAGGAAAGGATCTCTTTGTTAGCAGGGCGATAGGGCGATTCTTCAGAGTGAAAGCCCCCAAGGGTGCCTTTTAAAAACCTGTAGGGGCATTTTTTGCTGTCCTGGGAGGGGTGGGGGCACCACTGTCATCTAGTGGGCAGAGGCAAAGACGCCAGATGCCTGCAAAGGATGGGACAGTCACACACGTCAAAGAACCGCCTCTCCTACGTCCTGCTTAACTTTTACTGCCCCAGAGGAAGTTCATGAAGGTGAGCCATTTATAATCATCAAGAGCCCAGAAGACAGAAAAACAAGGTTATATTTTCCCCACGGTTTTAACATATCCTGAATCTTCTAAAATTGTATTTTGTTTATGCTAAAACTATACGATGATGGTTTTCACCATTTTGGAAAATCACATCTGTATTAGAGATTACACATGTAGGTGCAAATACCTGATGTCTTTATTGTTTCTTTGGTGTAGTCATGTCCAAGCAATTAAATATTGACTGGAATACATATTATTTTATTATAAATGGCTTTCTGTGTTATGGCTCCTTTATATTACAATTATAATCTATTTTTGTTTATAGATATATTATCTATGAATTTCATTTCAAAGTGATAAAGGAGGAATTATAAAATATTTGTTAAAAAAGAAAAAGGAGAGGGGCTGGCCCCGTGGCTGAGTGGTTTAGTCCGCGCTCTGCTGCCGGCGGCCCCGTGTTTCATTGGTTCGAATCCTGGGCGCGGACATGGCACTGCTCATCAAACCACGCTGAGGCAGCGTCCCATATGCCACAACTAGAAGGACCCACAACGAAGAATATACAACTATGTACCGGGGGGCTTTGGGGAGAAAAAGGAAAAAATAAAACCTTAAAAAAAAAAAAAAAGAAAGAAAAAGGAGAGTGGAGATACTAAGTTTGATAGTGCTGAAAACTAGAGGAAAAGACGGACAGACTCAGGTTCTGTTCCCAGATGACTACAGAACTGAGACGTAACCGTGCTCACAACTTGTCCCCTCAGGCAGAACTTCCTGAGCGCCCGGGGCCGGGTGCGGGCTATCCCGGGAGAGGAGGCTGCCTTTGCCTCAAAGAGCACACAGCCTTGCAGGAAAAACAGCAGAGTAACAGGCACATTTTTCTTTCTGATTTATTACGAAAATATTTACTACCAAACACAAAAGTTATAAAAATTAGATGTTATAATTCAAACATCTTAGCAAAACACATTTTATAAATAAATCTACAAGGGTGTCACGCAAAAGGGAAAAAAATCCTGCTGAGACATAACGACTTTGTGGGCACTCACTCATTCAACCACCGTCAATTTGTTAAAACTAATTTGCAAGAACTTTTTCAAGGCCACAGGGTTTAAATCATGCCTTCTGTTTCCTCTGAGAGAAAACACAAGGACCAGAGCGACAGCTAGACAGCTGTGTGTCATGGTCCTGAGGGTCACGGCAGGGCTTCCTCCTCTGTGAGAAAAGGGTTTTAAAAAAACTGTCATTTGCTAATTTTAAATGGATTTCCGTGAGGAAAACATTTGTTAAAGTTACAGCACAGCCAGAAAAGCCAGCAACTGGATTCCAGAAATGCACAACCTACTGACTTCATCAAGACCGCCAAGCCTCAATACCAAGATTTCAAAGCTGTTTGCAGATTTAACTCTGGGGGGCCCACCGGTGTACCCGGGACCCCTCTCACTGAGCACTGCTCCAGATGCTCTGCCGCCCTGACTCTGCTCAGGGAATTTAGACCGTCCTCTTGAGTCTTAAAGTGTGAGCTTCTAGTTTGTCCAAAGGTCTTGGCTCTAACTCGGTCACCTCTTCAGGCGGCCCCAAGGTTCCCAGCTGACGTTTCCTGCCACCGACCAGCCGCATTAGGCCCTGGGATTCTTGAGTGTTAGTCAGGGCTGACTTCTAGCCCTGACCAGCCTCAGCGAACTCCTTCACTAAACTGCAGAGCGTTACTCGTGATACTTCAACTCACTTGAATGGATGGCCTTCTTCTGACTTCTGTACAGCCTGGATGACAGACTTGTAGACCCTGAAGCTGATGGTGACAGAGAGAAGAGCCAGGATGAGGTAGGAAACCACACTGATGACACTGAAAGCTGCCAGGGAAAGCAGCACGATCAGCGTGGTGCCAAAGACAAACCCAGTCTTCTTCACATCTCGCCAGAAAATCAGATCGTGCACTGCCAAAGAAAAGGGAACAGAGTTACATAAACGCCCACGAGCCACAAGGCCAGGGAGGCTCGCGGCTGAGCAGCACGACGCTGCACAGAGGTCCAGGAGCACCCTCCCTAGGAGAATCTCATCAGTGGAATCACACCAGGACTGGGGTGAGCATTTACACTGCAAAGGGTTCCTCTGGCTTCCGGATAGGTTTACAGAAACTTAGGAACTTATGTTTTAGGGATGGCCACTTAAGTACAACGGGGTAAAGTGTCACTGACTTTAAACGTTTCAGCAGAAAGGATGGTAGAGCAAGTCTGGTAAAATCTTCATGTACTGTTGACTAAATTAAGCAAACCATGCCTACAAAATAGTTGGGTCAACAGACTACAAAACCATCTAACTTAAAACGTATCAATTGGGGTGGTGGCAGAGAGAGTGGAGAATAAAAATAAACCAAGCCCTATCAGTGTTAGTCACAATGAAACACCAGTCCCTGTGTTCATCCGAAGAGAACTCAGGAAGCACTATGGGTAGGGGACCACACAGTTATCTAAACCATGATATTTCTGAAAATGAAGTATTCATAACTATTAAACTATTCATAACTGTTAGGAGACAGGTACAGACCAAGACTGCCCCAGGCAAGTGGGTTCCATGGTTGGAAAACTGGAAAGATCTAAGTTCTTCTACTTAAAGACACCTCAAAAACTGGGTGTAAGCTGCTAGCCATCTCCGCCCGGCAATGACAGTGCATTTGATTTCCACCTGTGACGGCGAACGTCCACGCTCACAGCCCTGTCGCAAGTTTCTTCTTTGCTCCTTGCTTATAACGAAGAGCACGGGCTTTGGAGCTGGAGAGACATCAGTTTGAGCCCGGGTAATTTTTAGCCATCTTACCTTAAATAACCTTTCTAAACCCTGTTTTCTCTAAAACAAAGAAAGTGATACCTACTCCCTGGAGTTGTTTTAAGCATTCTATCAGGCTAATGCATGCAGCATGCTGAGCACTGCAAACGACACGCAGTAAACGCTCAAATTTTAACTACAATCAAGATATGGTTTGCCTGGAAGACTGACTGACGGTTAAATGAACTCGAATCTGATTCAAGCTGAGCCACTGGCACCTAATTCTTCCCCATATTCAGCTACAATACTCTCCTCTGAAGCCTGAGCTTGCTAGAGCCAAAGGAACCCAACCTGAAACTAAGAAAACACTCAAGAGATGCTGGTTGTACAGAACAAATCATCACTGGCTCCGCGAGTCCGGCGATGGGATGTGACTTACTAGGAGAAAGAAGAGCTATCGCGATCCCTGATGGGAAGCCGAGGGTCCCAGACAGAGATGCTACAAAGGAGAGAAGGCAACGGAGGCCCACCTGATGGAAGAGGAACGCTGAAGAGGATGCTGCGTGTTCACGAGAGCAAACACTAAGCGGGAGAGTTCCCACAGCCAGAGTCCAGGTGCATCCACACCACGGTTCACACGGCTCCAAGAGCAATCGCAACACGGAAGGCTTAGAGGACCGAGAGCAGGTCCGCACCGAGTGCTGAGTCACGGAGCAAACTGACCCATGCGCCTCCTGATGGAACGCCCCGGGAGGGACGCAACATCACTTCTGGGCTATTCCTGCCAAAATCATAACCCGAGTCTAACGAGAAAACACCAGACAAACCCAGATTGAGAAATAGTTTACAAAACAACTGGCCTGTATTCTTCAAAAATATCAATGTTGTGAAAGACAAGGAAAACTGGAAGAACTTTTTCAGATTAAGAGTAAGGAGACTCGACAACAGATAGGTGCAAAGTGTGGTCATACACTGGACGCTGGATAAAGGGATAAAAATAGTCATAAAGGACATCCCTGGGACAGCTGACACCATTTGAATGGGGACTACATAATTGATACAAGTACTGTATCAATGTTAAATTTCCTAAATTTGGTAAGTGTACTGCGGCTATGTAAAAGACACACAAATTCGTGTCTGAGAGAAACACACTCCAAGTATTTAGGGGTAAAGCGGCCGGATGTTTTCAACCAGCTCGTACATGGTTCAGGAAAACACACGTATCTGGAGAGGGGGGAGGGAGTAATAAAGCGAAAGTGGACAAATGTCAACAAGTGGTGAACTAGAGCAAAGGTTACATGGGAGTTTTTTGGATTACGCTTGCAATTCTTTAAGTTTGAAATATTTGAAAGACAGAAAGAGAACAATCAAGAAAAGCTTGGAGCATAAGGCTGGGGCCCAGAGAGAAAAAGATCTTGATGCATCAGAGAAGGAAAATGGGATAAAAACACTGGCCTAAATGCAAACCTACCTTTGGGCAAGTTAGAAAAAGCCACCCTGTTCCCATGAACTCTACTGCCACCTGCTGGAAAAGAGTCATAAGAAATACTCAAAGCTACAGAGCCCACTCACGGGAACGGCCCCCCTAGGTATGCAGCACATACTTACAGAACAGTGGAGAAGGCCGTGGGCTTGGCCTTCAAATCAGCAGTAGAATTATGGTCTGGGCTGGAAGGGGGACACACCATTTAAAAGGGGGACAATGGAGGGAAAGCCAGGCAAAGATGGCTCGATACAGTAAGCCTCCGTCTGGGACGCTCCCCTCCACAACTTCCCGTGGCTGCTCCTTGACTTCATGCAGGTCCTGGTTCAGGGATTCCTCCTCAGAGACGGCCCATCCCAAGGTCCCCTCCTTTCATCACTCCCCATCTCCCCGTCCTGCTTTATCTTCCTCCCTAGCACGTATCACTATATTTATTTACAGCGGGCTCTTCTCATCTGTTGCTGAACGCTTAAACGCCTAAGCTAACGGCCAAGAGACAGCAAAACCACGCTCTCCTGTGCTTCCCGATAACCCCTCTCCATCAGGACAAGTGTCTGCACCTGCGTCCTGCTAAGGACAGTGGGCCAAGGATCCTGAGTACACAATACCAAAGAAAGGACACTGGCATAGTCTGGAGACATGATCCTCTCTGAGTCTTGAGGAAGAGACAGGAGGATGAAACATATGAGGAAAAAGCAAGACAGTTTCAGTGTTTCTTTCATAACCAGGAAACCAAGAGGCTGCCATGGTTTGATTCCATGAAATGCTCCTTCAGTCTTCTGTCATCCATCTGCTCCTACTACCTCAGCAGAGGACTTTTTAAAACAGGAAATTCCTCACTTTCAATGCGTTCTCTTTCCTTCCTTTCCCAGCCTGCTCTTCTTCCAGCAAGCTCTAATCAGATGCCTACCATGTGGCAGGCAGGTTCTAGGCACTGGGAAGAGAACCCACCAGTAAATAAGGCAAACAAGAGCCTTTCTGACGCTCTGGTGGGGAAGGAGGTGATGAACAACAAACGAGCTCCCAGAGGCCTGTAAGGACACAGACCCACTGCGCTACGATGAGGATAATGTGCATGCAGATGTGCGTGTGCGGACGGCGGTCAGGAAAAGCCTCTTTGAGGAGACGACGTTAAAGGTGAGACACGAAGGATGAGGAGCTGGTCACGCAAAAGCAGGGGAGGGTGTTCTAGGCTTGAGGACACACACACAAGGACTCTTGGCGGGGCGGGGGGCTGTCGGGCATGGCTTGGGAAAGGTCAGAAGGCCAGTGTGGATGGTACGGAGTGAGTGGGGGGAGTGTGGTGGAAGATAACAGCTGCAGAGACTGGCAGGGCTGGATCATGGAGCCCTGCCTCAGAGCAGGGTAAGGAGCTCAGGGTAAGGATTTTACCTCAGGCGAAACGGTGAGTCACTAAAGGACGTCACGCAGGGGAATAACATGCTATATTCCATTTTTAAAAAAGCAGTTTTCCTGCGGTACAGAAAGTGGATTGGCGTGGGGCACGAGTGCAGGCAGGAGGGAGCGGAGTGGACAGATCTGAACCACATCTGGGGGCAGAACAGGCAGAACTTGGTGATGAACTGGATGCAGGATGTGACGGGAAGAACTGTGGATGACCCCTGGGTTTGGAGCCTGAGCAAATGGATGGATGTGGTGTCATTTACTGAGATGAGGAGGAGCAGAGTACAGAACATGTTAACTCTGGGATGGACGTCTAGAGATATCCCTTATTAAAGAAGGTGGTTAGACCTGCCAGTGTGGAGCACACAGGATAGTTCTGAGCTGGAGAAACACAACCGGAAGTGACCAGCACACAAACAATGTTTAAAGTCCTGGGGAAGGATGCGGTTCCCTAGTACTGACAGGGAGGGAGGCCCAGGTCTTCATTCTGAGGTGCTCCAATATTCAGAAGTGAGTACGAGCAGGGAGCTAGCGAAGGAAACAGGAAACACCGAGTGTGGTGGGGGATAACCAGGAGGGTCCGGTCTCACAGAAGCTGACAGGAGTGCCTGGAGGAGGGCGTGGGAACTGCCTCATCCTGCCGCGCTTGACTAAGGAAAAAAGTGACCCTGGACTTGGCAAGATGGAGATGGCTGGTGATCTGAACAAAGGTGCTCAGTGGAGGGACAGGAACACGAGCAACTGGAGGGAGCTGGAGGAATTAGTGCTGAGACGTGGAGGCAGTGTGAGAAACGCCTGAGAAACACGTGAAGGGGAGCAGAGCCACGTGGAGCCAGGGAACGGTTTTTAAAGATGAGAAACACGGCAGCATGCTTACATGCAGATGCAGACAAGGAGAGGGAGCAGAAGCAGTGAAGTCCAGGAAAGGGTGGGTGGCGGTGCAGAGTCCAGGTGAAGGGGCCGCTCCTTGTCAGAGTCAGGCACAGAAGAGGACGAGGAGAGACACAGGCCCACCACAGGGCTGGAGACTGGAAGAAGAGGGGTTGCTTTCTCAATAAAAAGGAGCTGAGATCATCAGGTGGGGTCGGGGCAAGGGGGAGAAGCAGGTTTACAGAGAGAGAGAGAGACAGAGAGAGAGAGGAAATGATTGTTTCAGAAAAGTGAGAAAATGTCTTAAAACTCTTAGAGTAAACCTTTGTGGCCTTAGGTTACGCAACGGTTTCTCAGATGTGACACCAAAAGCACGAGTGCCAAAAGAAAAAATAAACTGGACTGCATCAAAAA